GTATTCGTCAAAAGTACCTACCTCTTGACACCACTTGGCAGTGGCAAACACAGCAGAAGGTGCACAACAGATCATTTTCATTAAGAAGAGCCAGCAGAGATAAATATTACTGGCTATTAGGAGAAAAAAGTATTTAATAACTATTTTCATTTTGTCTCACTTCTGTGTTATACCTCTTTTCCCCTCATAATTCTTATCTTATAAAGACAGTTATACAAAATTGTGGCAATTTCATATATAATGACATTTGCATCTAACCTTATAGAAAATACAGACTCTATTCCCATATTTCTAGCACTCAGTGGCAGGAGCTGCTCTAGGTATTGGAGTTAGAAAACATAGGAAATAGATAAGACAAAGGGTGGTGGATTAATACCGTCAACTAAGTACCACAATATTTAGTAATAAACTGAATAGCTCTACCAGGAAAAAATAAGAGCCAAAGTCAGGAGAGAAGAGAGGAAGTTTGTAATTTTAAATATAGTAGTCAGAGAAGGTTGCAATGGAAAATGAAATAGCAAAAACTGGAAGAGTAGGCCAGGCAGCAATTTCTGAAGAAGAAATACCCAGGCAGAATGCCCAGACAATGTGGATGCACTGTGGCCAGAGCATGCCTGGCATTTTACAGGAACAGCAAAGTACCCAGTATGAAGCAGATGGCTAGAGTGAAATGATGAAAGGGAAGGTAATAGGAGAAGAGGTCAAAGAGCTAAAGGGAAGGGAGGAAGCACAGATCACAAATTGCTTTTCAGGCTAAAGTAAAGAACCTGATCTTATAATGTGGTATAGAAATACGTGAGTGAGGGGAGTTTTGAACAGAAAAGCAAAATGATATTGTAAAACTGAAATGCTATACCCATTAAACAATAACTTTCCACTCCTTCCTGCTCCAGCCCTAGCACTCACCATTCTACTTTCTATTTCTACGAGTTTTCCTACTTGGCTTACCTCATATAAGTGGAATTATAGTTTTTGTCTTTTTGTGACTTGTTTGTTTAACTTGACATGCAAAGGCTCACCCATGCTATAGCACATGTCAAAATTTTCTTCCTCTTTGGAGCTAAATAATATTCCATTGAATATATCATATATTTTAATCTGTTGATGGACACTTGGGTTATTTCTACACTTTGGCAAGTAAAATTAAGGCAGCTATGAACATGAGTACACAAATATACTTTTGACTTTCTGTTTTCAATTCATTGTATATGTATTCAGAAAATAAATTGTAGGATCTTATAGTAATTCTTTTTAATTTCTTGGGAAGCTACCAAACTGTTTTCTGTGGCAGCTTCGACATTTTGCATTCCCATTGTTTGATTCTTTTTAGTCTCCATATTCCAGGTGCAATGACTTTTCTTTGGTTCCTTTAAATACAAAGCCCATTCATGTAGTAGGGCCCTTGCAGTAGCTCTTCCCTTTGACTTCATATCTCCCTATCCTGATATTTACAAGACTGACACTTATTGTTCACTAACTGTAGACTTCCTTGAGTCATTTATTGTTCACCAATAAAGCACTTATCAGGATTTTGTGATTTATTTTTCTTTTCTTTTTTTTTTTCTTTTTGTCCTTCTTCCCTCAACACAATCTGTAGAACCTTGGCTGGCCTATTAGAGATTCACAGTGATCATTGAAATGTCACAGGGATTAATTTATTAAATTGTCTAGTGCTACAAGTAAACACTAACAATTAGTGGAAAGTTGTAATCATCACTAAAAGAATAATATAAATTCTTCAGAATCAAATTAAAGCAAGAGATAATTCGTAATTCCATACCATCATCAAGAATGACATTTGAGAGTGAGGGGAAAAACATGATAGAAGTACATTGCATGCATGGGTGAAAAGGTCACAAATGAACCCACCCTAAAAACTTGCAAGAAAGATTTTTCTTAAAAAGCAGGTGGTAAAGGGGCTAAGAAAGAGTAATAGACCAGTGAATGTGATCAAAATATATGACATGCAGGTATAGAAATAGCCCATTGTCCTAATATAACTGTGTGTAAGGGGGAATGGAACCTAGTTATTGTAATCAGTTATATGCCAGTAGAAATTTGGGAATCATTAACTTGAATGTTTGAGGCAAAATGTGATCTCTCCAGCTTCAAATTGTCTCAATAATTGCTAGAATATTCTCAGTGCCTTAAATATGCAATCACTGTCCTAGAGATACTTGTAAAATCTTTCATGTACTTCTGAAAAGCAAATTTCAGTTTCAGATCCAAAATAAAGAGAACTCATGTCACATACTTTCCACAAAAATTACTAAATTGATATTTTATCGTTCATTTTAGTAATAACCACTTCCATAACCCATAAGGTCATCTGTATTAGAGAAAACTCACTTAGGTAGCATAAAAGAAAAATTGTTATTTCTGTCTTTATATTCAGAAGTGAGTAGGTGGGCATAAATTGTCTATTCTGGATTATAGACAGTCTCATGGTCTAGTTATCATTTTGATGAAGCCATATATTAAGGCTGGCTTATTCTAACATTGTCTTGAGAGGTGCTGCCCTTCTGGCTCTAGGATCTTAAAAAAGTGATAAAAGTCTATTAAATATCTGCATGGAGGGGCAGTATATGTTCTTATGCATTAATATCCTTATTTTTATAATGTTAAAAATGGTTTTGAGGTATGAACCTAGGATACAAACTATTTTTATGCCACAGAGGATAAAGGGGATGACCATAGCTTTGCTTCCTCAAAAGATAGTTGGTATACTCATTACCACAGTAAGCTTACAGCTCTGATGAGTGAAAATCTGTGGGTACTTAACTAACTTGCAGGAGAATGATTCTATGGTTTTCAGAAATATAAAGAGATAGCTATTGTTCTGAAAACATTTGAATAGTTTTTCTCATTTGTTGTAAGAGATGTTGGATATTATAATTTAAATCATTATTCTTTCATATTGTTTTTAAAAAGTCATAATTGTGGAAAATCTAAATATCATTTGATTTGCTTTCTTAATATAAATACATTTAGGCAGAATGTATTGTTCCAATATTTATTGTGATACTTCAAATTTGTTAAACAGAATTGATTAGAGAGCCAATTACATTTCAAGGACACTGGCAGACTATGGCAGTAGGGTTGGAAAGTATTTAACATCTTTTCCATCTCTTTTATTGCTGTTACTAAGGGTTTATATCAGTAAATACTTCACAAACATTGTGTTTTTGCTGTAAAGGTTTATATCCACATTTTGAGACATAAGTTTTTACGACGCCTTTGCATATTATATCACAGGCTGCTTTAGGGCAGACAAATAATAGCTTGTCCCTTCTTGCTCACAAAGAGGTGTCTTTGGAAAAATAAAAGCATCTTAAGAAATTCTGTTGATGTATCTATCACCTTAAATATTTTGAATAACTGTTGGTACAGTACCTATTTCAATAATTTTAATAAACTACATCCTTCCTTCCACCACATAAGCTGGAAGTGTGCATGCAGACTGTGAATAAAGTTGGTGGAGAATAGATGTGTGTGCTTGTGCTATTAAACCACAGAGGAAATGGTACTGTAAAATGACCCTTAGTCATCAAGTTCTTTTGCATGTTTGATATATGTCACCTTCAGACATTTTCAGTTGGGTCAGAAATAATGAACACATAGTATGAGTAAGGTTCAAGTCACCAGTATTTTTAAGTACCTATTGACTGCCTAGAACTATTCAAGTTAGGATTGACATGTTCATTTGTACCTTTGACATGTTCATTTGTACCTTTCCTCTCACAAGACTTACTAATTTTCAAAAACCAGATTATTGTGTCTGTATTCAGACTATCAAAATATTTATCATAGTTTATTATAACTGCCTTTTTACTTCCCTACCTTTCCCATTAGAATATAAACTATAGGAGGACAGGTTTCAAGTCTATCACACTCACTCTTCTCTATTTTCTGAATATCATAGTCCATTAAGCCCTATATCTTAAACATAAGTGGTGTATAAATGATAAATATTTATTAATTGAATAATTATCAGTGTCCAGAAAATTACCATTCTTTAGGGATGTAATCATAGGGAAAAATAATGTTGTAAAAATTAGAATGTCAATTTAATATTAAAATTCATTAATTCTCAACACCAAAACTCTTTAAAAGAAAATGTAAGTTAGAATGGTTATCTTTTGGCTAGTTGGTTGAAGAATTGTATGCTACTTATAATGACGGTATTTTATGCGTTATCTCATTAAATCTACTCAACGCTATATAAAATCATTACTAACTTTCTCTTCATTGCACAGTGAAAGGAAATGAGGTTTAGAGAGAGATGAGCCAGTAAGTACCTAGTACAGATTTTAACTTTTCCCTTTCTTACCTCCAGAGGTCAAGCTTCGAAACAATCAATACCGAAATTTCATTTTAATGAGAAAGGAAACTCATAGAAATTAAATAATTTCATGAGAATAAACAGTTAGTAAATGATAGAATATGGTATTAGGCCCAATTTGCATAGCTCTAAAGCCTGTGTGACTAAGCCAGCCCATGTCTTCCTTCCTTTAACAGTAATACATTTTTCACAGATGTAATAAACAGTGGTCCAGGTGTCATCCTAATGATGCTGAGCAGCTCATAGCCCTAAGCTGCTTATCCTGACAATTTCTTATGAAAGGACCGATACATTTATTTTCGTTTTTAGTTAAATCAGAGTAAATAATTCTCAGGCAAGACAGTTTTTGCACATTTTATTGCTCTTTTCATTTTTCTTACATCTGCCATAACTTCACCATTTATTAGTGATATATAAGATATATTTGAAAAAGGGGAAACAACTGTTAAGATAAAATGCATGATGTATGGTGAAGGGAATAGAGCAACCTCCTGTGCGTAAGAAATTCTGTGACAAATCACATATAGAAAATGTGGTCCATACTGAAAAAAGGAGGAACTTGGGCAATAAGTGATATACCATGTGTCTAGATGCTTAAATGGGAAGTTTGCCATGCCTATGATAAGGCATGCTGATGATACCACTTTTTGAATCCTAGAGTCTCAAGTTCCTGACCAGCCAAGCTCTCTTCATGTGAGACCCCAGACCAACTGCATCATCATGAGTTGGACACCTCCCTTGAACCCCAACATCGTGGTGAGAGGTTACATTATTGGATATGGTGTTGGAAGTCCTTATGCCGAGACAGTGCGCGTGGACAGCAAGCAGCGGTACTATTCCATTGAGAGGTTAGGTGAGTAGCTGTGATTTTTATTCTACTAATGGATGATTATTTATTTTATTTTACTTCTCAGAAAATTGTTCTGTTGGATTACAATTTCAATGTGAAGTGTATATTAGTTATAAAACAACTCCCTTTCTCTCTCTCTCTCTCTCTCTCTCTCTCTCTCTCACACCACACTCACACGCTCCCTGTCTGTATTATTTTAAATTTTGGAAATTTGGTCAGAACATATCTCTAATGGTAAGTTCTCTAATATATGTCCTTGCGTATATGCACTACAATAAACAAAGTGCATTGGATGATCTTTTTCCAGTAGTCAATGTTAAAGTTCTAGTCTTAAAATTCCTCTATAAAGAAGGTCAATATATTTTTATCTTTATTGTTCTTACTAGGAAGACTTCTGCCAATTTTTCTTCAATTTTAAATTATTTACTTAAAAGGCCTACTTTGTTAACATTTGTAGATTAGGCATTGTAGTTTTCTAACTTTAAAACAACAAGATAAAAAGAGGAGTTTCCAGTCAAGACCGTAAATTGGAATTATCACATCTTGCATACATATATTTTTGTTCCCTTTCCAACCCAAGTTCTCTTAATGCAGTCAACCTTGTTTTTATTTACCAGATAAAATAATTCATTTTGATATTTCTGAATTCACTTAAAATTTGTTCATCCTGAGAGTTCTATTATGTGTGTAATCCGTAAACTCATTTTATATCTGATTTTCTACAGTGTTGTAAGAGATTATATCATTAGCAAAGGGAAATAAAAGAAAAACATGTAATATATTGGAATGCCAATAAGTTTAGCAATTCTCACAAAGCATGTTGTTTCTACTTGTTGATTTATTACCTTATTATTGGCAATGAAATACATTGACCTAACAGGAAATACAACCAAGTTAGAAGTGGAGGTTGGGGAGGGGGTGGTGCAACTTACTTGTTCACACACAGAACAATTGGATAGGAACAGTATGATAGCTAAAATGAAGCAGCAAGAAAAGATTTTCTCAGCTTAAGAGGAAAATTGGGCTGACCCATTCTTTCTGTAATTGCTTCAAACACTAATAAGGGAAGCACCTACTGAAACTCTCCACTATTTCAGCTAGCTTGGCATGTTGAAATAATATTCACCAGTCAGTCCCTGAGTTTGAATGTAAAAGCAGTCACAAAGCTCATATTTTATGGCCGTCAAACCTATGTCAGGGGAGTCTCACTTATCCATTATTCAGACTACATCATCTCTGACATGTCATTTTGATGCCACGCAGCAGACAAGGGAAGAGGGTACTGTGGCAGTGCACAGTCTCCTGGCAATAACAGTGAACAAGGTGCAAAACTCAGAAGTTGTGGAAGAAAACAGCCTTATTTTACCATGTCCTTTTGATAATGATGCTCTTTAGTACAAAGAAGTTTTCTGGAGTCTCCAAATCCACCAAAGTTTAGCAGTTTGTACAATTAAAATTGGCAAGTTTCCATAAATGTTTAATGAGAAGAAAGAATAATCCCTTTGTAGACATATCTTAAATAACTAGGAGTCAAAAGAAGAAACTAGGGCAAATTAGGGTACAATATATCTCAAAAAATCATGATGATTTCAACAGGTTTAAAAATTCTATATTCATTCTTGTACAGAGAGTACATCAACCATATTCGCCTTCTTAACTTCCTTCTTTTACCTTCCCTCCCTCATATGTGACCTCCTCTTAGTGTGACCTGTGAAACACTCCATATAGCTATTTTAAAACAAACAAAAATGTCATTTTTTTCTTTTAAAAATCTGAGAACGTGAGGGCAAAACAGGTATTGTGGTTGGGAGGGTATTGGTACCAGTGGGAGGGGGGAAAATATGAGGAAAGGGTGTAGGAGGGTAAATATAGTACAAATACTGTGTACACATGCTTTCAGTTTTCCCCCATTTTGTATGATGTTGGCTATAGGCTAGTCATACATACCCTTATTCATGGTACATTCATTCTACTCCTAGTTTCATCAGAGCTTTTGTCATGAAAGGATGTTGAATTATCAAAGACTTTTCCTGCATCTATTGAGATGATGAGGTGGTTTTTGTCTTTGCTTCTGTTAATATGTTGTATTACATTTTATGATTTGCATATGGTGAACCATCCCTGCATCCCTGGGATGAAACTGACTTGGTCATAGTGAACGATCTTTCTGAACTGTTGTTGGATTCGGTTTGCAATTATTTTATTGAGGATTTTTGCATCAATATTCATTAAGGAGATTGGCCTATAGTTCTCTTTTTTGGATTTGTCCTTGCTTGGTTTTGGAATAAGTATAATTCTGGCTTCATAGGATGAGTTAGTTCCTTCCCTTTCTATTTCATGGAAAAGTTTAAGAGTGTTGACATTATTTCTTCTTTAAAGATCTGGTAGAATTCAGTGGAGATTCCATCAAGTTCTGGACTTTTCTTTTAAGGGAGACTCTTTATTGCTGCTTCAATTTCATTACATGTTATAGATATGTATAGGTGATTAATATCCTCTTGGTTCAGTTTTGGGATGAGTGTAAGTATCTAGAAATTTGTCCATTTCTTCTAGGTTTTCCAACTTATTTGAATATAGGTTTTCAAAGTAGTCCCTGATAATTCCATGGATTTCCATGGTGTTTATTGTTATCTCTCCTTTTTTGTTTCTAATTTTATTAATTTGGGTCTTTCCCCTCCTCATTTTAGTCAAATTTGCCAGGGGTGTGTCAATATTGTTTATTTTTTCAAAGAACCAGCTTTTTGTTTTGTTGATTCTTTGTATGGTTTTTTGGGGGCTCTATTTTGTGGATTTGGGCCCTTATTTTTATTATTTCTCTCCTATTTGTTTTAGGTTTAGCTTGTTCTTGTTCTTGTTTTTCTAGGAGTTTGAGATCTTTTTGTGTTTTTAATATATGTGCTTCTAACTATGAACTTTCCTCTTAGGACTACTTTTGCTGTATCCCATAGGTTCTGATAGGTTGTGCTTTTATTTTCATTAAATCCCAGGAACTTTTTGATTTCCCCTCCTATTTCTTCTCTGACCCATTGATCGTTGAGCAATGTGTTATTCACATTGTTTGAGTATTTTCTGCTGCTGCTTTTGTTGCTAAGTTCTAGTTTTATTGCATTGTGATCAGATGGTATGCAGAGGGGTGTTTCAATTTTTTTATATTTGTTGAGACTTGCTTTGTGCTCTAAGAAATTATTTATTTTGGGGACAGTTCCATGGGCTACTGAAAATAATGTATATTGTTCTGTTGCAGGATGGAATATTCTGTAGATATCTGTCATTTCCACTAAATAGATGGTGTCATTTAGTTCTAGGATTTCTTTTTTGATTTTTTTGTCTGGATGACCTATCTATTGTTGGTAGAGGGGTATTAGAGTCTCCCACTACCACTGTGTTGGGGTCTACATGTGATTTTAAGTCTTTTAGTGTATTTTTAATGAAGTTGGGTACACTGGCATTGGTTTCATATAAGTTGATAATTGTTATTTCCTCTTGATGTATTGCTCTTTTTATTTGTATGAAATTACCTTCTTTATCTCTTTTGAGTAATTTAAGTTTGAAGTTCACTTTGTCTGACATAAGTATTGCTACTCCTGCTTGTTTTGGGGGGCCATTAGCTTAATAAATCATCTTCCAGCTTTTCACCCTAAGCCATTGTTTTTTTTCTGTCAATATGGTGGGTCTCTTTTAAACAACAGATTGTTGGATCTTCCTTTTTAATCCAGTTATCCAAATGATGTCTTCTAATGGAGTTGACTCCATTAATATCCAGTATTAGTATTGAGAGACCTGGGGTGATTCCTGCCATTTACTTGGATTTTTGTTTGTTTGTTTGTTTGTTTAAGGATTTGAGTGTATGCAGCTAATTCAGTGCTACTTCTGAGTGTTTGTTCTTCTCATGAGGTTTAATACTTCATGGCATTTCATGGTTTTGTTTGTTTTTGTCTTCTGTGTGTAGGATACTGTTTAGAATCTTCCATAGTTGTGGCTTCATGGTCATATATTGTTTTAGTTTTTGTTTATTGCAGAAGACTTTTATTCCTCCATTAATTTTTAATGATAGTTTTGCTGGGTGTAGTATCCTAGGACTGAAATTGTTTTCTTTCAGTACTCCAAATACCTCACTCCATGCCCTTCTTGCTTTTAAGGATTCAGTTGAAAAGTCTGCTGTTACTTTGATGGGTTACCTTTATACGCTATTTGCTTTTTCTCTCTTACAGCCTTCAATATTCTTTTTCTGTTCTCTGTGCTAGTTGTTTTAACAGTAATATGACTTGGAGACTTTCTATTTTGGTCAATACTCTTTGGTGTCCTGGTGGCTTCCTGTACCTGAAATGACAACTCTTTCTCGAGATTTGAGAAATTTTCTACATTATTTTGTTGAATATATTATGTATCTCTGTGGCTTGCATCTCTTCTCCTTCCTCAATGCCCACAATTCACAGGTTTGGTCTTCTGATGGAGTCATGGAGTTCTTGTGTATTCCTTTCTCAGCTTTTGAGTCTTTTGTCTAAGACTTCTTTTGTTTTTTCTTTAATGTCTTTTCTGCCTTCAAGTCCTGAGATTCTGTATTCCACTTGTTCTAGTCTACTGCAGTGGCTTTCCACTGTATTTTTTATTTGATTTAAGGAACTTCTTATTTCCAGGATTTCTGTTTGATTCTTTTTGCTGAGGTTTTCCATATCTTTGTTAAAGTCCTCATTTATATCTAGTGTTGTCTTCTTTAGTTCATATATCTGCTTTTTTATAGTCTCCTTTGTTTAACTTTGGAGTTTGTTAAAGTCCTCTCTGAATTCATTTAGTTCTTTCTGTGTCTTCTCAAGTTTTTGTTTGTGATGCCTTGATATTTCTTGAGTGCATCTTGTTTGTACTTTCCAGTTAACTGTGTCTTGTAGCTTCCCCATGACTTCCTCAGTGATCTGGTCCATAATTTCCTCTTTGAGAGATTTTTTTTGTGGGCATCACTGAGCTCATTGGTGATATTTATCATTGTTGTATTGGGGTCAAGAACT